CATCAGATTCAAAACTCCTAACAGGACCGATCCTTCCAATCACAACATCAAGGTATAAGGTAGGAGATACTGCCTAAAGGGCCTAGTAACCTAGGAAGACCAGAAGAAACTGTGGAAAGGCTTTCCTGGCCTCAGCTGCCATCTGCTCATTGAGCAGGAGCTATGAATCCAGGAAGATTAGGGGATTGTGGCAGTGGTGGGATTCAAATCTATTACTATCGGTTCTGTGGGCATGGCTTGGTGGGTGTGGCAGGGGAAGGATAGTGTAAAATCTCCAGTCAGAGGTGGTATTTGCCAGTTCTCCGAACTACTCAAAATTTCTGCTACTGGTTCTCCAGAACTGGTCAGAACCTGCTGAATACCACTTCTGGATTGTGATCAGACTTTAATAGAGAAAAAAATTGCCCCATCCAAGGTCAAAGATGAATCATCCCTAGATCTAGGTGGCTGAAATGCCCATGACCTCTTAGTTTTGCTAGAATAAGTCAGAAATGCTTCCTATCCAAACAAACCCACATAGCCTCCAGTTACTGCAACAGGACCCTGACAACTTGGCCATCTTGGGATTGAAAGACATAATTTCATATCATTAGCATACTGATAATATTGAACCCTATCAGTAGAGGATGACCTCACTAAGTGGTTTCATGTAAATATTGTAAAGGAGGTGAGAGCAAGTAAAAGCATTTAGCACCCCACAAAGGAATGTACCATTGGTCATCTCCAAGGCTGCTTTTACAATGCAAATTGGACCTAGATTTAGTAAACTGGTGGCTAGGCTATTGTATAGAGTCTTTGTCTACCTCCACAGGAGCTACAAGAAAAAATTCAACCCAGAACATGCTAACAAACCATGCACCTGGTGCCTCAAGTCAGAGTACATGACAATATGAACCTGAGCCATTTTATCCACTAAATATCCTGATTTATTTTCTCAGCAGGCCTTCCTATTCACAGCAGCTCCCAGTGACCCTATGTTGTGCCATGCATTTGTGAAGTGGTTGGTTTTTCCCCCGCAATGTACAGATCTGCACATGTCTTGCTTCATTGTACTTCATGTACCAAAATGCTCAATTTGTATCTGAGTATGTTATCCTTGAGGTGGACAAGCTTCTGCCTTAGTGTATTATTGGGTTTAAAGTGTGCCTGTATGTTGTGTTGTTGAAAATCTTCCCGAGTTTTTCTGATATTTCTGCAATGTATGGCATGACAATGTTGCTTTGCTTATTGTTCTCTTCTTTGTCTGTTATGGAGGAGCCCCTGCTGGATTTTGGAGGGAATTTGACAACATAGAACAAACCGATCATGATTAGATTCAGCAGTCCATCTGCATTTAAAAGACAAAGGCCTCTCTTTTGAATACAGCAAAGTCCACATTTTGGACAAAAAGGACCATTGGTTTGAAAGAGGGATCAAACAGGCCTATGTCAAAATCCCTCCCCCTCTGTTGATATGACATGATATGACATGATCTAACTCCAGTCTACAACACTGTCCTTTCAGCAATTCCAAGACATCTCCAAACCCATTTGCACTACTCAGGAGACTCTGAGAACACAGATAAACCTCCAAGTGGCCTCCATGACTCTCTAAAAGTATGCAAATGAGGATTTATGAGTATCATTCACCACCATTCAGTCAGAGCTGAAGAAGCTTCTTGGATGAGAAGTGAAATGTCTTCAAATAACAAGTCCAGTTAACTCTTGAAATAGCACCTTTAGGACAACCATGACATCATTTTTAACAGTATTACTTTGGTGATTAAATGAATCACTTGATTGTAAGCCAGAATCCAGCTGATCCAATGACTCGTTGTTTTTTTCCAGAAAATGACCCAAAAAAGTTGCAAAATATAACCAGTGACTCCAGAACACTGCAACCAGGTATAAACGTGAGCTGGTTGTGAGCACCCAAAATGCAGTTATGTGACTGCCAGGTAATGTGTATTCTATTGCTAAGCAGGGCAAGGTTGTGAATGGCAATCACTTCAGGATGCTGAAGCCATCATAAATACATACCAATTGCCCCAGTTTTGATCATATGACCATTAGGATGCTGGGACACCCATAAGTGTGAGGACTGGTCATAAATCACCTTTTTCAGTGCTGGTGTAATGGTCATAGAGCAAATGGTTGTAAGCCAAGGGCTATTTCCATATGGGTTATTATTGCTCTACAATGTGAGAGTCTGGAAGGAATGGGCAGCATAGTAAATGAATACATACATAGTAAATACTTCCAGAATAGAACATTCAAATAAAGAGGAAAGAGCATGTCATACTAACCATACTTTTATTCACCATGGTAGCTTGAATAAGGTATTACAGTCAAGGTTCAAGAATCTCACAAAGCCAGAACTAAGATTTTTAATCCATGCAATCTGGATTTCCCCAAAGCCATACAAGCCATCAATAGACAAAAGACATGATAGTTTATGGCACAATGTATGAATCCAATTTTATATTTGGGAAAGAACAGTTACTATAAACTATTAACATTATATTTACTTTGTCCTGTACAACATTCTGTTCTTCATAATTATATCACTTACTCTGCGAAAAAAAAAAACCCTGTAACCCAAAAAACAAGCCTGCCAGAAGTGGGGTTGGAAGCATCTTTAGTAGTGCTGGAATACCTGCTTTGCATTATATTCTCAAAATATAGGAAATGATTGTTAAACTACAAAGAAAGGAGTCATATCAAATACTATCTTACCTTTGCATAGGTTTTAAATAGAGGCAGAACATCTTTTTGCAGTAGATTCCCCAGAAAGAGCCAGGGCCTTGGACCAGGAGGGAGCTTGCCTCTTGCTTGGTGAAACTTGAAGGCCCAGAGTGTGACCAGAAAGAGAACCAACAATATTGCTGCTCCAGGTACCAGCTCTACCTGCATGTTTATTCTTCGTGCCTTGACGGAGTAGAAGAGATGAGACTTTGGGGTAGGAAATGAGTCTGTGGCATGCAGAAAATGACAGAGGCAAAGTCAATGTGATCGGTCTCTAGTTTTCTCCCTTCAACTCCACAAGCTTTCTTTCTACTTTTGCAGGCTATCAATTAATCACAAACATGAAATGCTATTTTAAGTCATGTTTTAAATCCCATAAACAAACTTGGAGAGGCTGAAGGAATATTCTTTTTTGTTTAAATTAAATAAAGTTTATTTAAGTTTCATATATTTAAAAGATTTAAAAGAAACAAACAAACTTATAAACAAATATATATATATATATATATATAT